CCATCTTACAGCAATCGCATGTACAATGTAATGAATTTGCTATTGAATTTGATTCGGCGGGATAATTCATAACATCCAAGATCGAATCAAATTTTAGTTAAAATTTGTGTATGTGACACGCTAATATTGATTGCAACAATGCCATTTTTCAATAATATCTTATGTTCCACTTTTACATAATCGCGACGCAGAAACCGCGACTTCTTACAATGTGCTCGCCTTCTTTGTCTTTCTTGTGTTTTGTTTCTCATCTTTCAATTGAAAGCTCGTTCGATTGAAGATTGTATTCGAAGAACAATGCTCGCGACGCACAATTATCGATAAATATACGTATATGTATAATATGTATATATATATATATAAGTATGTATACCTATATATTACGCATAAATAATCGACAGCGCGTTTATCTCTTATGTACAATTGTAGATTACATGAAATTAAAAATAATATTTTACGGAGGCATATTCTCTTGTTTTTCACTGTCTTTTTCTTTCTCTCCTCCCATTTCTTCCATTCTCTCTTTCGCTTTCACTCCGTTTCTTTCTCTCTGTCTCTCTTTTTTCTTTCTCTATTTATCACTTTCCCTTACGCAGTAAGATAATACTATTCTTATTTCTTTTTTAGTTACTGGAAAGTTGTATTATAGTCATCTTCGTACTGTACTGTAGGAACTTAAAATGGTGACTTCGTTGAACGAAGTTTCGGAAAAATAAAACGTTATTCTCCATTCGCCAGTCGGTATCGGTGCCTATCCGATTATTTTATTATAAATAATCACAAATCTTTCTTGTAAAATTCCGTTCTGTAAAATAACAATTTTATACACAAAAATAATAAATTTTTTAATAACAATAAAGTTAGGTTTAAAAATATTCTGCGATGCAAAATTATTGTATAAATTAATATATGTTAAAATATAGTTTTAGAATTTAGAAAGCACATAATACTCACTAAACCAAGTGGAAAATGTTTGAGTACAAAATTGATCTTGTTAGAAATAGAAACTTTTTTCTGTCAAGTGAAAACTTGTGTTCCACTATAAAAATTTTACGCTCATTTTTTTCACATCTTGTTTAATGGAAATAATGTATTATTTAAAATGTCTAGTAAAAATACATAATCCCAAATTCAAATAAAATTCTCCTTATTCATTTTTCTTTCGTACAAAGACGTGCTCATATCTAATTTTAATATTTCAACAGTAAAATGTAATTATCCATCCATCATCAATTTTGCATATTTATAATTAATAAGAATTGTAATTGTTGTTACCGCGGATATGGCGCCGATGTCGTCGAGCGAACAAACAGCGAAAATTAAATCAACTTTATTTAAGAACTTCACATTCGCTGTTGGTTTATCTCGGTGGTTGGTCTACTCGTTAACGTATATCGACTTTAACACGACACCACAATGCAAGTAAGACAATACAATTTTTCAATTCAACTAATAATAATGCATCATTAGTATTTAACGTGTAATATCTTTTCACGATAATAAAGTAACCAATCGATACGCGTCTCTCTATCCACACCCTATGCGACAATGATAATGCTCCTTTTTCTCCGTGCCTGTGTGCCTATATGTTCCCTCCCGTCTTCTCTTTCTCCTTTATGCACTTTTCTCTCACTCTCTCTCTCTCTCTCTCTCTCTCTCTCTCTCTCTCTCCCTTTCTTTCCCTTTCTCTCTCTCCCAGTCATTCTTAGAATATACTCTCATCTCTTCCCTCCTTTAAAGCTTTGCGCGTCGCCTCTCGCGAGAAACGAGAGACGATAAACATCGCGATCGGAGGCGAAACTTCTCTTACGTTTAATATGCTAAAGGGGTGCCTATAAACAACAAAAACATTAATTGAAAAAGAAAACGTAGCGCGACCGTTTCTTTTTCAAATCATCTGCAAAATAATACTGAATTCTGCACATGTGGTGCCTATCACAAATATACCTATAGATAATATTTATATACGTTCTCGCACGCATTCCTATACGCATACAAACAGTCATTAACTGTATTTTAACTGTATTTTAATTCTGCACGATTTGTCGCATACAGTTAAGATGTAATCTTACGTCTCTGTTATTCATTCTATCTTTCTCTCTCACTTTCTTTCTCTCTCTCTCGTTCTCTCTTTCTCTCTCGTCAACAGAGTGAATAAAAAATTGTTAAAACCATTTTCAACGTGGCTGTACCATCTTAAACGTTCAAGTGTTTCATAATGCTCAATATCAGCTTGTAACAAAAATAAATTAATTATGGAAATAAAAGCGAGATACAGTAAAGCTTCATTTTTTTATCAAAATTATTTCATGAATATGGAGAACGGAAAAAGTTGCAGACTATTTTTTTTAAATTTGTATAAATTTTATCATTTTCCGAAAAAATTTATACAAATAAATAATTAATATGATATCTTAGAAACAAGTAAGATAAAAAGTTTGAAATATCGCTATCACTTAAGCTATTTTATTTACAGATTAATTGAAAATTAACTGAAATATGAATAATAATTTTACTATTTCTTTTATATATTATATATAATATATATTATATATTATATATATATATAATATGTACTAAAAAAGATTTAAGGCCTTTCCATCAACATTTTTCAGTTTATAAAAGAAATCTATAATTTCAATTTAATTGAAAATGTTTCTAATATTATTTATTCATTATTAAATATCACATCTCAACACATATTTAATATAATAAATAGATATATATAAATTTAATTATAACAGAATATTTTACTTTAGATAAAAATAGTATAAATATACAAAAATTCATACAGAAAGTTAAACATTGCGAAGAAATAATAGAGAAATTATATTTAAAAAAATTAAAAAAGTTATAAACTTAAAATAATAATTGTTATCAATTTAGAGTTGAAATATAAAAATAGCCGATTGCAAATACGTACCGATTAAATGCAAACAAAAATGTAATAATTAATTATAAATAAGTAATCAAGAGATAAAAACTGAAAAAAATCAAATAAGCGATATTACAAATATCTGGGGAGACATTTATCTTACTTTTAGCAAATTTTTTAATAAATTTAATTATATCCATTTTAATTAATCCAAATTAAATTGTCATATGTCAATTTGTCTAATTACAAAAAATGATATAATATAGAGAATTAACGAGTATCTTGCGAGTCTAACTGTTTATGTATTTGTACACATGTACGCTTATGTAACACGCGACGAGAATTGATGGTATAACCCGCTGAAGAAGTTATAAACTCTTTTAAAACACCCTGTATATATAATATATAATATATAATATTAATAATCAATAATAATATCAGTTTGTATTGTACAGGTTGTTTTGGGAGTGGGGTCTGAAAATCTGTGGTCTCTCTAATATTCACTTCAAACCCCGTGTCGCATCTATACGCTCCGTTCATCATTTATGTTCTACTTAAATCGCTATTATTATTATTATTATTCATTATTTTATTATTATTATTATTATTATTTTCTCATAATATATCTTATCCTGTTTCTCTCTAGGAGTAGTAAAGAGTGTGACATAACGGATTCTATCATATGATTCTTATTTTCTGCCATTCTCATCACTTTTTGTCTTTTTTTTCCTCTCAACTTCCCTCTGTTTTTATTTCTTAATCTCTTTAACGAAATAATCATATCGTTATTATAACTTTAATAATTTACCGTTATCTATAAGTAATTTACCATTACCTTTACAGTTTAATATGTAGCATTTTCTTTATCTATCGTAGATTTGTCTGTGGCTATCCCTGATGTGTTAGTTACCCTGCGCTTCCGTCTGGTTGTCAAATATTGTTGTGAAATTGTGGTCTATGATTAAAAGTATGTTCGCATTTCTTTTCCCTTTTTTTCCCCCTTGTCTAGCTTTCGGATATCCAGATCAGTATGATTTCGGTGAATCTCAATCCATCCGCAGATATCACGCGAACGTTTCTTTCGTATCACATATGTAATCAAGAATTGAACTCTCCAAAATTATACTGTTGTAGATCATTTCTCTTGAAAAACATTTTCGCGTTTTTTTCTAGTACTCGATTGCCAGAATCGACAATTGCGCGTGTGCTTGCCTCGATCCTCGTCGAATTATTCGCGTTCGCAACGAGTCAAACCAGAGATAGTCGTTCGCGTCTCGACAGATCGCGCGATCTTTCATTCTGCTCATGTTGTCGAATTCTTCAAACTCGTATCGTGAAAAAATCGAACAGAAAAGTTCATAGCGAGCAGAATAAAACGGTCAACAATTAAAAATATTATTTACACACGTAACGTAACCGTTCATCGAGCGAACGTTCCAGATATTAAACTGACGTTATATGTCATTTTGACGACACTAGACGCCATTTTAAGGACAAATAATGTCAGATCTGTTATCTAGAATATTAATCCCTAAAAATTATGCGCATCGGTGCAACCATGCTGACGACGGGTAAGATTCTTGGGGATTGGCAAATGGGAAATCTTGGCAAGTTGTGTCGCTGTTATTGCGTAATCCACGTTCATCGCGCAATTCGGTAAGAATTGTTTTTTATCGGAAAGAAATTGTGGACGACTCTTGCGAAAGTGACGATCAATTTTATGTTGGTGACACTCGCCATCTTAACCAATTTGAGAAGCTCCAGTTATAATTCGCGGATGTGTCAAAAAGGCATTTTGACTAAACTAAAAATTATATTTAAGTTAAACTAAAAATTGACATTAACTTCTAAAATTAATCTAACTAAGTAATCTATAAAGTTAATAATACGCAAAAATTGGGAGCACTAAATTAGAAGAATTTTAGAAAATTTAAAAAGAAATGTATTAAAAATATTGAAGTATCCAATTATAACGTCTAATTCATATTTAATACAGTCTACTTGAGACATCTATTTTTTAAAATATATATTAAATTAAATTTAATATATATTTTTAATATATTTCAATTTTTAATTTAATACATATTCTTGATATAATCCCAATTCCCAATTTTATATATTTTTGTTTTTTCAGATCAAAGACGGTTTGAAATGAGCTTCTCAACATACTATTGTTGATTAATCGCACGTATCTTGCCATTAAAAAAGTTTTGTTTCATTCCTCAGCTTTCTACCAATCAAAAACGTAATCATCACTTTCTGCTCAAGATGCCCTTTTTATTGACAATGAACTGCACGAGCTTTCTCCGACGATCATAAGTCCATCGTAGTAGATCGTACTTTGTTCAATCATTAGCAAATACTATTTGGTATATAATCGCTTTTGCAGCAGGAACTATCTCGTAGCAGAAAAGCCGAAAGTTTTTTCGCGATCGCATTTTCGATGCCATTTCATTCTCGCAAAAAAATTCAACAATTCTGTAATTCGCGACGTTTTCAGAAAAAAAAAATTGATAACTGAGAACGATGCGTAAAACAATACGGTCTTCGGTATCGTCGACGACTGAACGAGCTCAAACATCGAAGATTATAACTTGACAAACAAACTTGAAGATTTTGCTATCAAGATTCAAATGATCTCAAAAAAATGTATTTCTCTCTCAAAGAAATTGTCTGATAAATTATCTAACAAATTAATCTATCTAATAAATATTTGAAAATCAACTTTTAAATTGTATTCATCCAAAATCAATTACAAACTACGTCCAACAAAGAGCTCGTTAGCAGAATTGATTTTAATAGCGATAAAAATGTTAATACCACGCGTATTTCCGCCCCAACTGCCGATGGAGGAAAGACAGCGATGAAACCCAAGTGGCAAGCACAGAAACGAACGGAGAGCAGTTAATGGCGCTTAAGCGTGGATTGAGCAAAGCTCGAATGTTCATCGAGAGTGCACCCTGCGGAGAGCTGCGAGTCGGTTGGTAAAAGTCAGTCTTGTGAAGGATAGTGTCTCTTGGTGAATCGCGCGCGTAAATCTATATACTTGCACACCCGTACGATGAGGAGCCTCACGGAGGGAGTCGCTTAATTAACTATTGCGCGATTAACCCTCTAGCTGCGACATGTGAAACTATTTTCTTAAAACATTTAAAATTCATCTTGATCTTAGCTAGACATGTCATTGCATCCGGACCAAGTCAATATATCGATTTACTGCTGAAGAATACATTAAAATCTGTAAATTAATGTAAATTTTTAAATTCGTACACGAATATGTGGCGTGAAGGCGATAATCGTGACGATGTTGTAATATTCTCAAAAAGTTTGCCTAATCTTCTAAAATGTCCCCACGAATAATTAGATTAATTATCGCGCTCGCGACATATTCGTCGCGATATATTTGTCGGATTTTATAGTTAATGCAACGCAACAGCGCCAATTGCGATACGTGTATGATTCACAGCAAAAGGGCTAATCGACCATCCGCCCAGCCCTCGCGGGCGAAAGTAACAAATCAATCATCATTTAACATCAACGTACAAGAACGTACCGGTCCAACCAAACGATCCCACTCAATCCTAATCGGAACCGTTCTGCTGTAGCAACGCGGGCGCCGATTGCGCTGGTTGCGGCTGCATCGACGACTCTTGGTGATGATGGTGATCGACGATGGGGGATGGTGTCTCGCTGGTCTGCGAATTTGCCAGGTCGCCACCACCGCCACTACTCCCGTCCCCACCTCCACTACCTCCTACGCATCCACCTCCGCCCCCGTCGCTACCCGGATTCGCGGATGAGTCAAAGGCTTTCTGCTCACTCGGGGGTAACATATGCACCATATTCACTATAGGAAAGGACGAGGTATAATCGGCGGGATAAAAGCCCTGCGGCTGCGGCATGTTGCTACCGAGCAGAGCGCGATGGGGGTATCCGCCGTTATCCCCTGGATGCTGTAGCGGCAGACCGGTGAGCGCGTGGCTCATCTGCGCGGACTGCTGGACGGGCTTGATGTTGTTGTTGTTCATAATTTCGGGGGTATTGGCACCGGTACAGTTCCTACGTAACTGCTCCAGCTTTAAACTCTTCCCGTACTTGCCGCGCACGTACATCAGCAAGCTATTGTAGGGAATACCGAACATACGACTAGCCTGCGACGTGGTGAGCTTCTTCTCCCACACATGTTGCAGAGCTAATGTGAGCTCGTTATTCGTCCACGATCTCGGTGGCCCTCCTCGCGGAGCACTGTGCTGCCCCTTGGGCCTATTAACCGCAAGTGCTCGTGTATTGTGATCGCTCCATCTACGTGTGGCATCACCGTCACTACGATGCTTCTTCGTCTTTTTGGCGGGCGGAGGACCGAGAGTGGGAGTACCAAAAAGATTCTGCAATGCCTCTGGCTTGAAGTTGTCCGCTAGAAGCGTATCCGCGAGGAGGTTACCCCTCTCGTACGTGCCGGTGTGAGGGAAAAGCCCGCCACCGAGAGCCGTGACGCCGTCCAACGTCGGCGTGAACATCGCCATGGCGCTACGTCGTGGCACCAGAGCCGACTCCTGCTGCTGTTGCTGATACGGATGAGATCTGCCGGAACCGTGTGGACTGTCCTCCCGCGGATGGTGACTTTGGGGCGGTGGCAGTTGACTCTGCGGATGCCCGGGCAGCCATTGGCTCGCCAGCTGGCCTAGGCTTGTCAGGTACTCAGGAGGATGCGGTTGTGACAGCGACAATGTCGATATCGTTGGTAGCGCTACCGTAGCAACCGCCGCCGCTACAGCCGCCGGGATGTCCTGTACAGGACCATCCGGATGATGCAGTAAACTTGTCCCTGTTAATGGCGAGCCGCGAGGACTGCTCGTCGCTTCGCTACCCTCCGTCTTCACGTGATGCTGATCTAACTCGCTCGGCGATATGGGCTTCTTCATCGAAAGATTTTCCGCCATGTCTTCTTGCTGCTGCTGCTGCTGCTGCTGCTGCTGCTGTTGCTGCTGTTGATTCTGTGCGTTGTTAATCGATTGATGATATTGAGATTGCTGCAACAGCAATTGCTGTTGCTGTTGAAGCTGTTGCTGTTGCTGCGCCTGATGTTGACCGCTCAGATTAAGAATGCCCGGCAACGGACTCGAACTGACCGGCGGTGTCGAGCGTCTGCTCAGATCTTGCGGCAGCAATTCGCCGGATCGTCGGCGCGGGCGCGCCTGTTTCCGGCGTGGCAACAACGGCGAGCCGCAGCTCTCGCGGATACCAAAGTTCATGTGGCCAATGAGCGACTTGGCCGGATGGTCCCTCGTTGGTTGAAACAGAATGGATTTCATCTCTCTCGTGCTTTCCAGCGCATTTTCATCCTCCTCGGGCGTGTCGTGTCGCGCGACCTCCGGCGTTGGTAATTCGCCCAGAATGAGATCTCGCGTCGGCGTTGACGCCAAAGATGACGGCCTGGGCTCCGTCGACACCAGCGTAGGCTCCGATGACATCAGCCCACGCACCTGCAGACATTCTGCGGCCTTCATCAGCCCCGGCAACTCCTCCTGAGCGATCTTCACCTCGCCGCGATATATGAAGTTTACCAGACTGGACAACTCATGATGCGAAAAGTCCTTCAACACGATTACGGGGTGCTTGCACGGATTCTCCGCGAATATCCTTTCGAAGAAAGGACTGCAACATACGAAAAGCGACTCTGTACGATTAGAATTAGATCCTTCTCTTTCTAAAAGTTTGAAAATTGTTTTCAAGGAACGCACGTCTTTTCACGAATTGATTTAACTATGTTACGGCACAGTCGCTCAAGAAACTCTTACATCGCGCTATTTGCAATGTTACATGCGTCGCGGCGAGAAACGTTGCGTGTCTTCGCTCAGTAAGACAGAACGGTGGCCAGAAACCGCGGGCAAAAAGCCACCGCCAAGGATTAGCGCGCTCCTTCCCCGATCGAGCGACGGGGAATCAATCAGATGGTACAAGACTTTCGCTCGTTGTCAACTTTACGTCACACGTCCCGCGCGAGAAGCGAGAAGAGCGTTGCGGTAACGTGTAGACGGTGCGAGGCGGCACTTGGCCGTTTGGCAAACCACGAAGGTAAGAAGCGACGAAGAAATTTTTCTTTTGACAAGAGAGAGAGATACCTGCCGGGACGCAAGAACTACTCTCGATTTCAGTGCCCGTCGCTTCTTTAAGATACACTGTACACTTCCGCCGATCAATAAAACTCGACTGATCGTTTTCAATCGAGGCAAGGAACCGCTAAAGGAGGCAAGTAGTGTAGGAAGTTACTGTCACGAGATACACGGACAAAGGCGGGGGAGTTTAGAAAGCTTTAAACCTTTGCCGTCGAACTGATACTTCTTATTTTGCGGACATTTATTTTTATCGGCACCAACGAGACGTTTCACCTATAATGACGTGAATATCACTATTGATATCTCGTAAATCTATTGCGTAAAAATTTTTTTCATATAAAAACTCTATGCTCGTGGAGATGTTAGATCCTGCGGAATGTTAATAGTTAAAAAATTCAAAAAATTCTAATAAAATTAACAATTTCTCATCAATTTTTATCTTTTGAATTTTACTCGATTGTATCGGAAATAAAAGAAAAAAAAATATATATATATATATATATATATATATCAGGACAAGATTACTACATATATATATATATATATATATATATGACAAGATTTACTACCGGAATAAGATGATATTCTAATCTTGACGAACTTACCTGCAGGCGCTGAGGACGACTTTGTGTGCCTTGACGCTGCTGTCGGCGCAGATCAAGGTCACGTCGACGAGCGTCTCGGCATGTAGCAACTCCTCGAATGCCCGTTGTATGTGGGTGGAATGATTGGTCCATCGTAGGGAATAGTGTGATTGCAGAGCCATTCTGTCAGGACTGTCCCCGACGCTCGACATTTTTCTTCCGCCGCTGGCGCCGGAAGCTGGTGACTTAGCGGAGCCGCCACCTTGTCCTGCCCAGTTCTCTCTCGTGCCGCGTTCTCGTAGACCTGCGTGGTCCTGCCTCTTCCATGCACGCACGTACGTGGCCACGTACGTATCACAAAGGCAACCCCTTCTTTGTTCCCCTTCTCCTTTGCCGACTCGTCGCTACGCTGGACCTTACCACCGTTTTCCTAAAATTCACGAATGTGGAAGTGACCAGTTAAAACATGAAATAGACATAGAAAAGGGAAATAGGTAAGACGGAGCGAGTTGGGGAAAGAAGGAAGGAGAGGAATAGATGACGTTTTCGAAGGTCATGGAGCGTGTAGAGTAGTTTCGAAGTGACGTACTTCTCTACTTTTCTCCCTGTTTTCAAAGTTTCGGAGGATCCATGACGGAGTATGTTCGCACCGATATCAAGCTGGGCAATTAGAAAGTTTTTACAATAACGTGCTCGAGATACAATAAACATTGAAGTTAACATGTTCCGTACACTCTTGATTACTGTATTGCCATTTTAACATGGCATCAAACTTTCCATTTGCATTACGTTTTATTTTACGTATTTCGTGATTATAAAATTCTAATCGAATAACGTGAAAATTATAGGAAACTAAATTAAATTAGATTAGATTAAGCTCTCTTGAGCCTAAGAGGGAACTCTTTATCATCGTGTAATTTGTAATCGGATATTTTGTTCAACAAATTTTGCGATTTTTTCTCTTTCTATTTTTTCAGATTCCTGCAAGATAACTATTTTGATTGTTTAAAGTGAGAAAACACATGATGAAAATTATTGCAAAGCACATTAAAGAAATTTTGCAGTCGACAGAACAAGCTTATAAAATGTATTAAAAAATTTCTCTTTTGCTATAATAAATAAATAACTATATATATTTAAAATTGCATCGCGGCTCTTGAATTATGTTTTTGATTAGGCACAATTTATTCCTAGATATATAATTATTTATTGATTTTACCGGAGTAAAAGAACAGAGTTTTTAAGACTTTGTACATTTGTATAGATTTATTTTATCAATTGCAAACGTTATTTTATCACAAAATATATTTAAAATATTTCGCAAAAATTTTTGTCGTGTTTCTTTCACTTCGGACATCATAATTCAAGATGGCTGCAATCAGTCAACAGGAACCTTAAAAATATTATATTATGTAAAATGCAAGTAAAAATAAAATAAAATGTTATGAAACTAAGAGAATGATTGAAGAAAAATTTTAACTACCTAAGTTTCATATATATGTAATATAACAAACATATGTTTTTAAGAAAAGTTAAGTATTGGAAGCGCAAGATTTTGCAAAGATTTTGCAAAGATTACGAGCTGCGTTATGCTGGCATTATCGTCGTTCACATAGACGATCATGAGATACACGCTATTCCCGAGATGGCATACGCAATTAATTATTTATCCAGCCGAATATGCGATAATTACACTTCGGGCGATTCACCCGCGAAATATTTAGCAACGTCGGCACTCGCTTCATCGACGATCGGGTGTGTTTGGCTATGAATAATTTCGCGCCTGGAAAAAGGGGATAACCGGAAGAAGGGACCGATGTGGCGGTCACGGTCAATTTGCACGCTTTTTGTGGCATCGCCCAATATTCGTTGCGTTGCAAAAGAAGTTTTCCAAGTCGAGACACGTGAAACTACGCATCTCGCGGTCTCGAAAATTATATCAATCGCATCGGGACACCCGTGATTTCCGAACGAATAAATTTTCTTGGATTAATCAGGTATATATCCGCGCGTCGTATCTGATCGCTGACTGACAATGTATCCATCCAATTCATGAGAAGTTGCTAGAAGACACTATCCACGAGAGTAACCCGTCTCTATCAATCATCCGTTAAATTACAGCGATTCGTAAACTTGTCGAGGAGGCAACGTTACACAGTTATAAGCGAGGCTTTTGCCTCATTCCCTTTATCCGTACAACGCTTCTATATAAATGTACGACTTTAAATTAGGTCGATGAGGTGCTCACATAATGCGAACTGTACTTAACAAAATTGCACATTCATTTTTAATTAGTTCGTGCACTGACTTCTCTTTTTATCTCTTTCTCTCTCTCTTTCTCCTCACATCAATAAAATGTACTATTTAATATATAGACAGATGTACGTTGTGCGCAATTCTAACGGAATGGATGACCCTTAAGTTTCTATCTACGTTGCTAGCTATGTCTGTGCGTGAATTGAAACGAATGATGTAGCGCTCGTGCGTTTATTTTATAATTAAAATATAATTAATGTAAAAGGCGGCACACGTGCGTAGGCGCGCGATGTGACCTGAAACGAGCGTGCACCTCTTCAACGTCACGTCATTCGCACATATGCGACGGCTTCGATTATAAATTGCATCCGGTTAAAAATCCATCTACAGATACACACTCGATAAATCATTCTGGCAGCAATTACGCCAGCAATAACACAATAACAATAAAAATAATAAAAATTGTCAGGGGTGAAGAAAACGCAAACACACGCGTACGCGAAATGGGAGAAGCCTCCCGCTCAATTTACGTTTGAAAAAGCTTCTACGTGAAATGAATATTCCGACAGCCACCGCGCGAGTTTAAGAAAATCGCGGAAAATAGAATCGCGGCATCGAACAGGATAAGCAAATTTCCCCCGTGCGCCTGCGTTGTCGATCACTTGCCGAGAAATTCGCTCTTATTATCAGCGTTAATTCAGCAATTAATAAAAGCATTCTCTGTCAACCGCCGAATAATTAATTGCCAAGCTGGTATCTCTGCGATCGTAAACAATCTCTCTCTCTCTCTCTTCGAGAAGATCGAGGTAGGCACGCAACAAACTACGAATGACAATCAACAACGTGCAAACAAACGAGGTCTAATGTCACGCAAAAGGATCAAATAATTGAATTGGCTTTTTGACCTGCTGCCTTTTACTCACGACGGCGAGCGGTAAAAGCGGTAAAAGCGGCGCTCGAAAACCCATTGCCTCGCTCTGGACGAGAAGACTCTCGCACGAGAGGGGAAATACTTTTTTTTCTCGTGTTTTCACACGAAACGCAGTCTCGGGGAACCGCCGGTTCCGGGATACGACACTGTGCGCCGTCGAAAACTCCCCGCAAGTTTGTTGTCAAACTCGCACGTGTTC